GTCACCACCGTAGCACATGGTGATGCGTGCATGCTGAACTCCAAAGAACTTGTACCAAAGCACTCAGTACCATAATCACATTATAAGTGACAGTTTTGTTTTGGCAAAATATCATTATCCATCATATTTCATTAGTGCTAATTTAAGTTTTATTTGTTGTATAGTTTTTGCTTGTGTCTGATCTATAAACGTTGGGTTTTGTACTTTTGTATGCATAAGGCATTTATATGTAGCTTTGTTTATACATACTTAGATGCCATTATAATAAATAAAGTAAAAACTGAGGAGCTAAGAGAATTTTTCCTTATTAAAAGGGGATGTGCAGTATTCAAGTTTGAGAAACACTGCCCTATACTATACACTGCTGTGGGTGGGGCTTTGGCAGGTCACTCAACCTCTCTCCATCACCACCTACCTCACAGGAGGATTAAATGTGATAATGAAATGTCTGAGTGCCCGGCCCACAGAAGGAAGAACAATGAAAGATCTGTTTCCTGTCCCCGAAATGGAAAACACGGAAGCTAAATATAATGTAGGGGCTCTTGTACTCTACGTGTGGTCTTGGGACCAGGAGTATTGATTTCATCCAAGAGCTTGTGAGAAACTGACCATCCCAGGCCCCACTCCAGACCCATGTCGGAATCTGCATTTTAACATATTCCCAGCTGATATATTAATAAACTTGGAGAAGCACTCATCTAGAGGTTGACAGTAAAATTCACTGCATTTTTGTACTACTCTGTAGGTTAACTGGTGGTTAGAGAAATGCCAGGTGTAAGTGGACAAAAACGACCATCTTCCCTTAGGATTCAATATAAACATGGCCATTTTACTATTGGTTCTTCACAGGCTGTCTTCGAACAGAGTGGGATGCTCTTTAAAAAGGGAACTTTTTGGGCCGGCCCGAGTGGCGCGACAGTTAAGAACTGGCTTGGGACGCCAGAGGGCCCCAGTTCGGATCCCACATATGAGGGCCAATGACACTGCCCTCCACAGCTAATATGCTGAACAACAGCTCAACCTGGAGCTGGGCTGCCGTGAGTC